ATAGACCAATGGAATAGAATTGAGAACTCAGAAGTAAATCCATCCACCTATGGATAGCTGATCTTCAACAAAGGGTCGAAGTCCACTAAATGGGGAAGAGAAAGTCTCTTTAACAAATTGTGCTGGCAAAAGTAAATATCCACTTGCAGAAAAAAATGTAACAAGATCCATAGCTCACATCATATACAAAAACTAACTCAAAATGGATCAAAGACTGAAATCTAAAACCTAAAATTGTAAAGATCATGGAAGAAAAAAATAGGGACAACGCTAGGGGTCCTAATTAATGGCATAAATAGAATAGCAAGCATAAATAAAAATGCACAAACAGCAGAAGATAAACTAGATAACTGGGAGCTCCTAAAAATTAAACACTTATGCTCATCAAAAGACTTCACCAAAAGAATAAAAGAAAACCTACAGACTGGGAAAACAGTTTTGGCTACGATGTACCTGACAAGGGTGTAGTCTCTAAAATTTATAGAAAACTTCAACAACAAAAATACAAACAACCCAGTTAAAAAATGGGCAAAGGACATGAACAGACACTTTACCAAAGAAGACATTCAGGCAGCTAAAAAACACAGGAAGAGATGCTTGCCATCATTAGCCATTAGAGGCTGTAAATCAAAACTACAATGAGATACAATCTCACCCCAGCTATAATGGCACTGATCAAAAAAACAGAAAACTACTAATACTGGCGAGGCTGTTGGGAGTTTGGAACTCTTATACGCTGCTAGCGGGAATATAAAATGATACAACCACTATGGAAGATGGTATGATACTTCCTTACAAAGCTAGAAATAGAAATACCATATGATCCAGCAATCCCAGTCCTAGGTATATAGCCTAGAAAAATAAGAGCTGTGACAAGAATAGACATGTGCACACTCATGTTCATTGCAGCATTATTCACAATAGCAAAAATATAGAAACAACCAAAGTGCCCATCAACAGATGAATGGATAAACCAACTGTGGTACATACACACAATGGAATTCTATGCAACGATAAAGAATAATGATAAATTCGTGAAACCTCTCACAACATGGATGAATCTGGAGGATATTATGTTGAGTGAAATAAGTCAATCACAAAAAGACAAATATTGTATGAAACCACTATTGTAAATAGCCAAGAAAAAGTTTACACACAGAAACATTTTTTTATGGTTACCATGGATGGGAGTGGGAGGGAGGGAAAACGACTAACTAGAAAGTAGACACGTGTTAACTTTGGTGAAAGGAAAAGCAGTACACAATATGGGGGAAGTCAGCAAATCATGACCAAGGCAAGGGATGACGCTGAGAGGTACATAAGAATAAAAGGTAATGACGGTAAATACTACAACATACACAATAACAACAGTAATAACAAACAATAAGTTATGAGCTGATACTTAGGTAGGTACGTATGCTGAATAGGTGTAGGAAGGCAAATGGGAGTTCCCCCGCATGTATATATAGGGTTGGCTGTGGATATTTTTACATACATATTTGTATGTGCTGCATCTATATTCATATATACAAAGAGCACACAGGGGGCACAGTCATTCAAACATCCTACACGTAACCAAACACCTCGAGGGACTGAGCTACCAGGCTTGAAGGCTAGGGACCATAATCTTGGGGGACATCTATGTCTATTGGTATAACATAGTTCATAGAGACAACGTTCTATAACTTACTTTGGTGAGTAGTGTCTAGGGTCTTAAAAGCTTTGGAACAGCCATCTAAGATACAACTATTGGTCTCTTTTTCCACTGGAGCAAAGGAGAGTGAAGAAAACCAAAGACTCAAGGAAACAATTAGTCTGAAGAACTAATGGACAATAGGAACCACAGCCTTCACTAGCCTGAGACCAGAACTGGATGGTGGGAAGGTACCACTACCAACAACCACTCTGACCAGGATCACAATAGAAGGTCCCGGTTAGAGTGGGAAAAAAAAAAAGTAGAACAAAATTCGAATTCATACAAAAGACCAGATTTCCTCATCTGAGAGAGACTGGAAGAATCCCTGAGACTATGGCCCTTAGACACCCTTCTAACCTGGAGCTGAAGCCACTCCCAGAGATGCCCTTTCAGCCAAATAATAGACAGGCCTATATAATAAACAATTACACTCATGAGGAAAGTGCTCCTTAGAACAATCATCTATATGGGACCAAAAGGGCAAAATCTGCCCAAAAGCAATGAGTAGAAGGCAGGAAGGAGCAGGAAAACCAGAGGAATGGAAATGGGGAACTCAGGTGGTAATGGGGAGAGTGTTGACACATTGTGTTGATCGCAACCAATATCATGGAACAGTTTGTGTATAAACGGTTGAATGGGAAATTAATCTGCTCTGTAAACATTCACCTAAAGCACAATAAAAAAATAATTAAAAAAATACAAAGAAGAAAGAAATAGAGACGTTCTATGAGGAACATCCCTGAGAAATGGGAATCCGGTCTCTAAGATAGGTCCCAGAGCAGCCATACATCACAGGCATCACCTGGGAACTTGTTGGAAGTACCAACCCTCATGCCCCATCCCAGACCTGATGATTTAGATACTTGGAACGAGGGCCCAGTGCATGCTCAGGTTTGAGGATTACTGCTCCAAGGGAAGATACAGTGGAAATATGACTATTAAAGAGGTGTATTAAAGGTCAAAGATGAAGCCTTGTCAGACAGGAGGCCATTGCCCTGGTGGGACTCTCTAATCAGGAAGGTGAAGATGGAGAAGATCAGCGTGAACAGGAGGTGCTTCGACAGACCCCTCTCTTACCATGGGATACCCCGACCACCCCCAACCTCCATGACAAAATAGGACAGAGCAGAACTTCCCCATAGGGTTTCCAAGGAGAAACTGGTGGATTCGAACCGCTGACCTTCTGGTTAGCAGCCAAATGCTTAACCATTGTGCCTCCAGGGCTCCAGAAATATAGTTAGAAATGAAAAAAAAAGGAAGGGGAAAGAAGGTATCCAAATCCATAAAACATGCATATATATTCATTGTAAATGGTAGAAAGAAAGAGACAGACATGATGCTGCCTACAGTGTTTCAGACTCATTGGGCTTCTGAAGGGAGTGGGAATAGAGAGCACAGTCTGGGAGTCTGCCCAACAAAGCCAAAGCTCACAGACAGTGTAATGGGGTTCTGGGAGACATGGTGGTTGTAAAACGTGTGCAAATACGCTGACCCTCCTCCCATTAAAAGATGGCATCTAAGAGCTGATCTCCCCTCCAATATGTATCGTGTAGTGACTCACCTCTCATAAGCAGAATGAGATGGTGGAAGTGATACTGTGTGACTGCTGAGGACATGCTAGGAAAGGAGGGACAGCTTCCATCCAGCTCTCTTGTCATGCTCACCCTCAGCACCAGCCACCATGCTAGGAGGAAGCCCAGGCCACACAGAGTGGCCCATGAAGAGGAACCAAGTCCCCTGGTGCATTCCCATCAATGGCAGGCACATTCCCTCCCCTTGCCAGACATGTGAGGAAACCACCTGGGAAGCAGATGGTCCAGCCCAGCTGCAGGGAGGTGAAACCAGCCTCCCTCATGCCCAGCCCACACTGCAGATTCATGAGCAGAATAAGTCATTATTATTGGTTCCAGCCACTACAAGTATGGACACTAAATTTCTCTAGGAGATGAACTGCATCTGCTTAGAAATATCCCTGGGTGGTATTTTACACATGGACAGTGGTCCAAAGAGCATGGTCTGAAATGTGATCACACCACAAAAACAGAAGTGAGGAGGAACATGGAAGTGAGAACAAGAAAAAGAATGGGGAAGAAAGAGGTTTGGGGCAGGAAGGGCAAGCCAGGCAACATGGTGGGGGTGCCTATCCAGAGGTGGCCCATGAGAACACCCCAGTGGCACCACAGCTGGGGGCTCTGAACAAGGCTAGCCAAGGACAAAGGGAACCATTATGGGTTGAATTATGTGCCCCCAAAATATGTTGAAGTCCTAACCTGTGAATGTGACCTTGTTTGAAATAGCGTCTTTGAAGATGTTACATTAACATTCCACAGATCCGCCCTCGCCTCCCTCCTCTCCTGACTATCAGTGCTGGCTAGTGCTCCTGCCGCCTGGGGATGAGTGGGCTTCTATGGGATTGAAAAGACTCAAAACGGAGTTAGTCTTCCAAGCATTTTCACATCTGATTAATGTTAAGTGTAAATAAAGAGGATAGATATGCACACACGCACACACAAACACTCACACATGATACATGGACCAGTGATAGGAGTGTGTCACGAATTTAGGACCAGAATTAACACAATTCTACAAACCCAAGGTCCGAACAAATCAAAAGCTGTTTCATAGGATGAATTCTCCTCCATGACATAAGAAATATGACATCTCCCCCAAGACGGAAAAGTCCATCCTCAATGCTATAAGCATTTTAACACCAACTCCAGCACTTGCTGGCCCAGGGGAAGGAGTGAACAGTGTAGGGAAAATAAGACCCTGCTATCGCAAGAGAGGAGAAGAATATGACCACATGTACCTGAGCACACATGCCGAGTCTCGGGAGGCAGTGAGGAGGCTGGCCCCTTCAGACCACTTCCCCACCAAGGACTCCCCACCTTCCCATGGGCCATTGCAAAAAGAGATGGCTGAAGAGGGAATTCACCTTAAAATACCTTCTTAACCACAAGAACAGAGACATAGAAAACATGGACATAAAAAAGAAAGACAAGGAACAAAGAGCTGCATGGAGAAAGCATGATTTATTAGATTGACGTGCAGTGTGGTTTCCTGCTGGAGTCAGAGAAGGGTCCTGGGAGCCAGGACACTCTTAAAGGGATGTGCAGGGTCAGGGAACGATCCAAATGATCTGCCACAGGGAGGGGCTTCTTATCCTGGAGTTCAGAGGGTTCATTGAGCATGCTTTTCATCTGCCCAACGTGTAGAACCTGGAGGCCCACCAAAGGCTCGTTCCAGGAGGAGCTATAGGTGTGAACCTGTCTGCACTAGGAGTGCCTCGTTTGGAGGCATGTGGTTAGCAGCAGGAAGGGGTGCCACAGGTGACGGGTCTGCAGATGAGGGTGGGGCAGGAGGGCCGGCAGCAGCAGGAGGACTGGTAGGAGGGAGCCATGCACACAGTGGGCTTGCAACTTACCGGCACACACACAGTGGGCTTGCAGCTCACGGGCACACAGCAGGTCACCTGGCAGGGGCTGGGCACATAGCAAGCCAACCTGTAGGAGGAGGCCTGGCCACACACCACAGGGCTACACGGGGACTGGCAACCACTGGAGTAGCTGCTGGCAGCTCCACAGGGTGACTGGCAGGAGCTGGCCACACCACACACAGGCCGGCACAGCAGAGTCACACGGGACACTGGGCGGCAGCAGGAGCTCCCACAGCCCAAGGGTGAGCAGCAGGCAGTGGGGACGCAGCACGGGGATGGGCAGCACGCCGACTGGCAGCCCGTGGAGCAGAAGGTGTGGCACATGGTAGGTCTGTGGCTGGAGCAGGTATCAGGGAGGAGGTGGGGCAGATCTGCAGGCTCCTCCTGTTGGACGGCCTTTATACCCCTGGCACACAGGCATCCGGGCAACACAGAAGCATAACTATTGTTTTCCTTGTTGGTGCTTCCTCTGGGCTGTCTCCCAGAACCTAATTTTCTGGTGTGGATTAGCTTCATGACTAATTGCATCTTCTTCACGCTCTTGTTTCACTTGAAAATCTCCCCATCTGTCTTACTGGCTCTGTTTGGATTCTGCCTCGTTCCTTAATGTTGCACCTGTGTTACTTTTACATGATTTCAAAAACTTGGATCTTCTGATTTTCCTGTTCACGTGACAGTGATCTTCAAACAATCACAAATTGTAAACCCCTCCTATGTGCCAGAAAGGTCTATGGTAGATGTGAGGGAGAACTGAGGATGGTTAATGGTCTTTGAGTTTCCCAGAGCTGAGAGGTGGAGTTGGAGAGCTGACAGATACACATGAAAGGATAAGGAGACTACTGGGCCACAGATAAGTGAAGATTCGTCATGGAGAACTCCTGTTTTTAGATCCTTGTCTTGAGACAGCCTCATACTTAGAGAATCAAGATAATATACAGTAGCTGAATGCAATGGCTAATGTTATTGTTAACTTGGCTAGGCCATGATTCTCAGTATTATGTAATCATCCTCCATTTTGTAATCTGATGTAATTATCTTCCATTTTGTGATATAATGTCATCACCTCCATGATGTGATTTCATGGGATTAGCCCATCAGTTGTAAGGGGAGTTTCACCAGGGGTGCGGCCCACACCCAGTACATGTATATGGATGTTCTGGCAAAGCTAACTTGTTTGCTCTAGATCCTGTTTCCAGCTCCTCATCATCTGACCTCCAGTTCTTGGGACTTGAGCCAGCAGCCTATCAACTGATCTGCCAACTTTGGGATTCACCAGCTTCTGCAGCTTTGTGAGCCAACAGCCTGCCATCTGACCTGCTGATTCTGGGTTTGTCAGCACCTATAGCTATATGAGTCAGGAGAAGCCTCCAGCTGATGCCTGACCCATGGACTTTGGGACTTGCCAGCCTCCACAATAGCATGAGCCATTTCCTTGAGACAAATCTCTCTCTATATATATATATGTATATATATATATATATGCTGTATGTCCCCAGGACCATTCCCACAACCCATTTTTTTTTCTTTCTGACATTGGTTTTTTCTTTTTTAGATTGACATTGGTTGCCTATTATTAGCTTTCCTGTCCCCTCCTGCCTTCTGGCCCTTGCCCCTGGACTGGTGTGCCCCTTTATCCTCCTTTTGTCTTATGGGCCTGTCCAATCTCTGGCTAAAGTGTGAACCCCAAGAGTGACTTCATTACTGAGCTAAAAGAGTGTCCAGGAGCCATACTCTAAGAGTTTCTCCAGTCTCTGTCAGGCCAGTAAGTCTGGACTTTTTTCCCACAACCCATTTTTGCTTCTAGACCTGTAACTAGACTTAAGTCCCAGTGAGCCCCAAAAGGTGAAGTACAAAATGTGACCCAGGAGGAGGTACACTACACTCCAAAAGAACTGCTTGACTTTTCTAATACGTACAAACAGAAACCTGGGGAATATGTGTGGGAATGGCTATTAAGGGTGTGGGATAACGGTGCAAAGAACATAAAGTTGGATTAGTCTGAGTTTATTGATGTAGGTCCACTAGGTACAGCTCCTTCTTCCATATTTCAGCCTGAGAGGTTAGAAAAGGATCTAACAGATTATTTATTTGGTTCTCTGAAGCATGGATTAAGCGGTGGCCTATGCTAAATTAAGTTGAAGTACCAGACCAGCCTTGGTGTATGGTAGAAGAAGGTATCTAAAAGCTTAGGGAAATTGGCATGTTAGAGTGGATTTATCAGGTTAGACCCACAGACCCACACATGGAGTGCCCCAGAGGACACACCTTTTACCACAAATATGAGGGACAAATTTGTAAACGGAGCCCCAGCATCCTCAAAGACTTCTGTGATTGCTGTTTTATGTAAGTCAGATTTGACACTGGGAACTGCCCTAATTGAATTAACACATCTAATTACTATAGGGCTTATTGGACCTCATGATGGTAGGGGCCAAGTGGTGGCACTTAAATGCTAAAGACAAGGTGGGTGTGGTTACCGTAATGGACAGTAGAGTCAAAGCAGTAATCACAAAAGTCTGACTCGTATGGACTTTTGGTGTTGGCTACTTAGCCATGGTGTCCCTAGGAGTGAAATAGATGGAAAACCTACTAAATATTTATTTGATCTGTACAACAGGAAGAATTATAGGTCAACTGAACGGGGCAGCCTAACTTGAATCACCAGAATAGAGATCTGCGGCCTCTCAATCAATTCACTGACTTGAGTCCTGTGATGCAGCAGCCTGCTGTCTGATCAACTGATTCTGGGTTCATCAGGCCCTAGAGCCACATGAGTCAGGCAAAGCCTTCAGCCGATGCCTGACCCATGGTCTTTGGGACTTGCCAGTCTCCACAGCAGCCTGAGCTATTTCCTCAAGATAAATCTCTATAATTACAAATATATATATATATATATATATATATATAATGTTTCACTGGCTTTGCTTCTCTAGAGAACCCAGATTAAGATACAGGACATCCTCAAAGGAGGCATGGATCTACCAAGGAGTAGGTTTGGGTCAGGCATGTGACCAAGGAGGTATGTGTGGCCCCTGGGCCAATGAAGTTCCTCCCTGCAACAAGGAGCCATGGCAGGAGACAAGAGTTCAATATGGAGAACCACACAACACTTGCAGAAATAGATGAAATGACTGGTGCCAGAATAGCCCTCTACTCCACAATACAACTGAAAAAAAATTTGTCTCACATATATTTTCAGAGAGTGGTCAACAGGCAACACAAGACTTTTGTTCCAGAGAGAAAGGAAACACAAAGTGAGCTCCACATTCACCCAGCTCTACCTCTGGGGTCAACTTCCTAAATGCAGTGTGGTGAGCTAGAGTCTGAGAAGAAAACAATTGCCTCACTGTACTGAGAAGGAAGAGGTCAGAGTTTGGCACAGTTGAAGCACCTGGAATCTGAAAGGTAGGGCATCAGACAGGAGAGAACTATACATAGAGTAGGGGCCATAAGTTTATGTGAGGATCCCCTGTGACTCTATGGAAGAGGATGGGGTTGTACATGCTCAGAGCAAGACCACTGGGGGCTCATCAGATAGAAGCTGCTACAAAGTTGAGAGGGGAACTCTGGTGGCATCCAGCTGAATCCCCATACATTCTGCACTGTAGGAAAAGGACCACACTCTAGGGTAAGGCTTATTCTAGAATGCCCCAGCAACACCTAAAATAATCCATAACAAAATCTGCCAGGGAGATAGTTTGAAGTTATGGAGCTTGAGAAACACCTTGGACATTCCACAGATCCACCATAACCAAGTCATACCAAGCCTGCACAAGTTCAGGGGGATCAACCAGTAATTGACTGCCTGATAGAAGAAAATTCAGGACTCACAGAAAGTAATAGAAACTAGAGTCCCAAAAGTATTATCCACAATGTCAAATTTACAATAAAAAATCTTTGTATGTCTATACAAAGATATGGGAAAATGAGCCTCATACTCAAGCGGGAAAAAACAGTCAATATATACAAAATCTGAGATAACCTAGGTGTTGGACTTAGTAAGCCACATGCCCAAACTTCTGCCACATCAGCAGCTAAAGATCTACACAATCATAGGACTCCTGCTCTTAAACTAGGATTTCCCTGAGAGTCAAGAACAGGGTCAGAGTAGGATTCAAGTAATTCTGCAGCTAAACCAAACTGGCCTCCCTGTTAACCCCAGATAGTTGCATACAATGGGCATTATCCCTAAAAAAAAAACCAAAAAAAACTCAAATACAGTGCCACCCTCCATCCAACAGCCATAACATGGGGAGGGAGGGTTATGCCTTCATTTACAAGAGGAATTTAATTTTGGTATATAGAGACTACAATAAAGCTAACTGGCTAATAATTGAACACATGATGTCAGTATTCTGGAACACTCTGCAATCGCTACTGGTAATAGCCAAAGCCAGTATTCTAAAAATCCTCCACAGTTTATGAATCACTATCTTGTAGAGATGAACATTCACATATCCTTATTCTCAACAGTCCCACTCCTGAGTCTATTCCCAGGAGAAACTCTTACAAGCAGACACCAGGAGATGTATTCATTTCAGAATACATCTGAATACATGTTCAGAGCAGCACCATCTGTAACAGAAAACTCTTGGAAACTACACTCCTGCCTATCTGTTTGAGAATGGATCAGCTAAAATATTCACACAATGGGACACTGGAGAGTATTCATAACGAATGAATTACACCTACACAAAATGTGGAGGAATCTTAGCAATATTTCATCCAGCGGGTAAAGTAAGTCCCAAAAGATTGCATTCAAGATGATATCCTTTCAACATCCTTCAAACAAACTAAATAAGACACCGCACTTTTCAGGAATTGTGGAGGTGTGACACAACTCTATTTTTTATAAAGGAAACAGAATGATGAGCATTTTCAAGACTGGTTACCCCAAGAAGATAGGGATAAATTATTGAATGAAGAGACTGGCTCCTGGCTAAAAACCCAGGTAATTTTCACGCCTGACCACCAGTAATTATACAGGCTGTACCTGGGTAGCAAGTTGTGGTCAAGGACTCAGCCCCCCACCCCAAAACAGCCATGCTCTGCTGTTTTCCATATCTGCATTCCTAAACCAGGTGCCTCCATATGGGGGCATTTTTAATGAGGGTCTTCAATAAAGTCCTTCCTCAGGTGATTCTGCCAAAGTCTCCTTAACAGTAAGAAGGGGGAGGAAACTTGAAGATGCTTTCCCCCGTTCTGATGCAGTACTTGGTGCTTTTCCACCCCCCTCACTCTCTCCCCTGCCTCTGGGTCTGTAAAACTGCAGAAGCCTTGTGTTCAGGGTACCCTCTGCAGTGAGATGGCAGCCACATCTGCACTGATCCACCTAACTCTCTCCTGGACACCATTCCTGGGGAAATATGGAACAGGGGGAGCCAGCGGCCTTTGCCAGGTATCTCTTGCTCATACTATCCCAGTAAGTGATTGAAGACTTAACCGTTACTTTCGTTTTGGCTCCTTCTCTTAATTGCCTTCTTGGACACCTTGCAGCTCAGCTCAGCTTAGCTAACATTGAAAATGTTTTTCTTTCATGTTAGGTGGTGGATTCATGGCGATTGACTCTATTAAAATACTCAAGTAATTAATTATTAATTAATAAAAAGTAAGTCATGCATAGACCAAAAATAGGAGTGTATCAAGATCCAAACTAAACCAGTTCTTTAAACCTGAGGTCCCAACAAGTCAAAAGTTGTCCCACTGGAAATAATTCTCCATGTCGTAGGAAATAAGACGGCTTACCATGAGACGGAAAAATCTATCTGCAATGGTGTACCTCATTTTGACTTCATCTCCTGCAATTGCTGGCCAGGGAGACAGGAAAGGACAACAGAGAGAAAAAAAGACTGAACTATGGCAAGTGAGGAGGAGAAGCTGGCTGAGTGCACCTGAGCTCACGGGGTCTTGAGAGGTAGTGAGTAGACTGGCCTCTTCCCCTACAAAGGCACCCTCCACCTTCCCATGAGCCATTGCAAAAGGGGATGGCTGAAGGAGGAATTCACCTTAAAGTGCCTTCATAATAACTATAGAGACACAGAAAACATGGAAATAAAAAAGAAAGACAAGAAACAGACAGCTGTCCAAAGAAGACATTCAAGTGGCTAACAGACACACGAGGAAATGCTCATGATCACTAGCCATTAGGGAAATGCAAATCAAAACCACAATGAGATACCATCTCACCCCGGCATGACTGACACTAATCAAAAAAACAGAAAATAACAAAGGTTGGAGAGGCTGCAGGGAGATTGGAACTCTTATGCACTGCTGATGGGAATGCAAAATGATACAACCATTTTGGAAAATTTTATGGCTATTCCTTAGAAAGCTAGAAATAGAAATACCATATGATCCAGCAATCCCACTCCTAGGAACATATCCTAGAGAAATAAGAGCCGTCACACGAATAGACATATGCACACCCATGTTCATGGCAGCATTCTTCACAATAGCAAAAAGATGGAAACAACCTAGATGCCCATCAACAGATGAATGGATAACAAACTATGGTACATACACACAATGGAGTACTATGCAACAAGAAAGACCAATGAGGAATCTGAGAAGCATCTCACAACATGGATGAATCTGGAGGGCGTTATGCTGAGTGAAATAAGTCAGTCACAAAAGGACAAATATTGTATGACACCACTACTATAAAAACTCATGAAAAGGTTTACACACAAAAAGAAACAATCTTTGATGGTTACAAGGGAGGGGAGGGGTGGAGG